GCTTCTGGGCTCATTTATATGAGAACTCTCAAGAAGGCGCAGTGTCGTAATTCAAACGTTGAAAGTATGACACGTTGCACTTAGTCCCCAGGTGCCGCTGTATTGTTTACTATTTTCATGATCAGAAAGGCTGTTGTTCACTTTGAAAAATTTATTCATTTATTCATATAATATACTCTTTTTTTTGTCAAATTTCGTCCGTCCGCATGGACCTCTTGTCCGTTGAAACTTTCATGACTCTTGGAGTCATTTTCCTGTCAAACTAAATATTCAGCTAGTTTTTTGGCGGTGTAAATAAATAAATAATACATACCAACTGCTTTTGTTCGATGTTTGATCCCAGCATCAAAGTTGGCACCCAATAACTCTATTTCCACTAAAGGACTATTGACATTCCTCCCTGATTTGCAAAGATGTCGAGCACCAATTATTCGGATTGTAACGAACGCCTTTTGAACATTTATTAAAGTACTTGATTCGTTTGGGTCGAAATAATCTCTTAGCATGAATTGAGGCTTCAGTATATAGCCACAAGCTCCATTGTCTCGAAATTTAGCTTGGTTCACTTGCATTGGTTTATCTGGTGTTTGGTAATTAAGTGCGATCATTTGGGATCCAACATTCCAAAATGGGACAGGATTGAAATTTGATGAATCAAGCCTTTGCCCTTTCGGATAAACACGACTTATTTGATTTCGATGGTATTTAAGACACATTTGAGAGTATTGCTGAATGAAATATTTTTCTGCTTTTGTCTCAGGGAAACTGGACATTTCGTAGTAAATCCAACCCTTATCCTTGAACGGAACACTTCGGAAATAAATAATTAAATCAGACATTTCCTTTGCAACACGAGCATTCCTCTCTTTTTTCCGACGCTGTGTTTCCAGTTGACTTGCTAGTTGAGCCGCTTCTTTTATTGCTTTCTCCCATTCATTTGCGAGCTCCTGACACTTGAACCCTATTTCAAAAGGACTTTCCATTGATGGAGTTTGGATTCTTAATTTGAATTGTACTTCTGGGTCGTTGTTCTCAAACATAACGTTAACCACAGCACCATGCACATCGAATGTTTTTGCAGCTGTTTGTGAAAACATAATAAGCATTAACCTATTTTTTTCATTCTTGTGATTTCCAATATCAATATAATTAAATAATAATAATTATCGCTTAATGTGAAATGAAGTTGATTACATTAAGCTATTCGGTAGAAGGAATATTCACCTTAACGCCCAAATATACAATAGTATGCTTACTTTTGACAGTTCGACCATTTCATACGGAATCTTGGCAAAAACTCAGAAATCCATTTTTTGACCCAGTTGGAACATGTATTTACAGAAGTATAATAGAAACAAAAAATGCGAATAAGTATATTGTAAATTTTCTGAGCGCAAAAACCAAACACACAAACGTCGTTCGTCACACAAATGTTGAGCGCAAAAACCAAACCTGCCTACTAGATTGGTCGATCCTAATAG